GGGGAATATTAGGAAGTCACAGGCTTTCAAGTAGTTATCTGAAGCAGGGGTAGGAATAATCTATTGTTTAGGATTTAGAAACTGATTTACAAAACAATTGAAAAGCAGGGGGATAGGAGAATTCTAGGATTCAGGCTAGGAGCAATCTTTAGTCTAGGATTCACAAACTGATGAGAAGAGTAATCAAAGCTAGGAGCCAAGGAACTAGGGAGGAAACNCCGCAACTAGATTGAAAGTGGTAACTGGACTTAGAGCTGAGCTTGTGCCCTCCACAACTAAGATTGAAGGACAACAACTTGGAGCTGATGGGTCTTGGGAAAACACAAAGTTCCCTTTCCCCAATATCCCAACACTGTTCTCATCCCCAATTCCCCAATTTTAAAAAATCACTTAAAAAAACAAGGAATAGAAGGAAATTACCTCAACATAATAAGTCATATTTTAAAAATCTGTGAACATCATAATTAATGTTGAAAGATTGAATGAAAGCTTTTCCTCTAAGATTAGGAACATGGTAAGGATGCTCACTTTCATCACTTCTATTCAACATAATACTGGGAATTCTAGTCAGAGGAATTATGCAACAAAAAAGAAATAAAAGGTATCTAAACTGGAAAGGAAGTAGTAAAATGATCTCTATTTACAGATGATATGATCTTATATGTAGAAAACCATAAAGATTCCACATACAAAAAATTTTGAGAAGTAATAAATGAGTTCACCAAAGAAGCAGGATACAAAACACACAAAAATCAGTTGCATTTGTATATACAAACAATGAACTGAAAAGGAAATTACAAAAACAAATGCATTTATAATAGCATCGAAAAGAATACTTAGGAATAAGTGTAACCAAGGAGGTGAAAGACTAGTACAATGAAAAGTACAGAACATTTCTGAAAGAAAGAAGATGTAAATGGAAACACACCCCATGTTCATGGAGTAGAATACTTAATATTGTTAAATACCAATACTACCAAAATGATCTACATAGTCAGTGCAATCTCTATCAAAATCCCAATGACATTTTGTGCAGAAATAGAAAAACCCATCCTAAAATTCATATGGAATCTCAAGAGACCCCAAATAGAAAAAAAAGAAAAAGAAAAAAAGAACAAAATTAAAGGACTCATGCTTTCTGATTTCAAAAATTACTACAAAGCTGCAGTGAACAAAACAGTGTGGTACTGGCAGCTGTCCAGAAGCCGGCGACTGATCTGCCTCGCCCAGGAAAAGCGCAATGATGGTGCCAACTTGGCCCAGTGAAACAACGTCCTTCACAACTACACTGAAGAACAAAAAAAGGACAGCAACTTGTCTGTTCCCCTTCCCCCAATTCCCCAGCACTGTTCCCATCTCCGAGTTCCCCAATTAAAAAAACAACAAAAAACTCAACAATCTAAAAACAACCCAATTCAAAAAGGGGCAAAAGAATTGAATAGACATTTATCCAAAGAATATATACAAATGGCCAATAAGCACATGAAAAGATGCTCAACATCAGTAATAATTATGGAAATACAAGTCAAAACTATAAGATACGACCGCATGCCCGTTACTATGGCTTCTGTCAAAATAACAAAAAACAACATGTGTTGGCAAGGATGCAGCGAATTTGGAACTCTTGTGCACCATTGGTGGGAATGTAAAATGATACAGCCACTGTGGAAAACAGTATGCCGATTGCTCAAAAAATGTAGAATTATCATATGACCCAGAAATTCCAGTTCTGGGCATATAACCAAAAGAATTAAAAGGAGGTCTCAGATATTTGTATACCCATGTTGACAGCAGTGTTATTCACAATAGCTAAAATGTGGAAGTGACCCAAGTGTCTATCAACAGATGAATGAGAAAATATGGTGTATACATACAATAGAATATTATTCAGCCTCGAAAAGGAAGGAAATTCTGAGACATGCTACAACATGGATGAACCTTAAGGACATTATGCTAAGTGAAATAAACTAGTCACAAAAAGAAAAATCATTGTATAATTCCACTTATGCAAATACTAGAGTAGTCAAATTCTTAAAGACACAAAGTAGATTAGTGCTTGCCAGGGGCTGGGGGTGGGTGGGCACTGGGAAAATGGGGAGAGACTGATAATGGCTAATGTTCTGGAATTATACAGTAGTATCGCACAACTTTTGAATATGCTAAAAACCACTGAGTAGTATAGTTTAAAATAGTGAATTTTATGGAATGAGAATTATATCTCAATGAAAATAAATAAAAACAGTGATCATAAGAAAGAATATATCCAAGAACATTTTATGTGAATCTAGTTTACAAATTTAAATATATTCAATGGCTATCTTAATATACGAGGTGTGATAAAAAAATACGGTGAATGTTTAAATTTTTAAAAATGTATTACAGTAAAAGACACATTACCATTAATCCCCCTCAAAATACCCCCCCTCGCTTCAAACACACTTATCCCATCATTCTTTTCCCTTTCTGAAGCAGTTCTGGAAGTCGTCTTTCCTGAGTGTCTTTTTTTTTGCTTGTCCCAAGTTGGAAATTCTATTTTTGAGGCAAACACAACAAACAGTCTGGAAAATTTTAGACCAAGTCCCAGTCTGGTCTTGGCTGAGAGCAGTGGGCGTGTGGGGCAGTGAATGAACGCCCCAGCAGCAGTAGGGCGTAGCGAAGGGTGTCCGGGTGACCCAGACACCCACCCACCCACCTGGAGGTAGCAGCTGACCCTGCTGCTGTCCTGGGTGTGATGACTGCAGGAGGCGCCCTATGCGCTGGGGAACGCACGCTCAGGGACATTCCCACGAAGTTGCAGATTCCCAGGGCAGTGATGGCACTGCAGAACCACCCAGACAAGGCACCAGAGACTTGCAGCTGGCGACCCAGAACTGGCACCTGCCCGACACCAGGAAGAGCGTTCATAAAGTGGTGGTGACAGTAGCCCACAGGGACCAGCCCCTCCCTCTTGGTGACTCTAACCAAAGGGGCCCCAGGGAACGCAGCGTCCTGGAGGACAGTAAGGCCAGGCGCCCCCTGGTGTTCAGGCGCCCATCCTGTGAACAGCAGTGCAAACCGCGCAAAGGTGTTGGGGGGACCTGCAGGGCTCCACCATCCTCCCAACTGCATGCCTGCGGGAGGGGCTGTTTCCTCCATGACTCTCCATGACTGACAGGCCTTCCACCAACCCAAACCCTACTTTAAAAACCTAACACTTACCCTTGACTACTGGCTTATATTTGCCTTTTCTTAATTCTGCAAGTTCACCAAAGCTTGATGATTTCTCAACTGAGCCAAAAGTCTGCTCTCCTTGGGGTGGTAAGGTGGCCAGCACTTACGCGTCTCCCTGAGACACCGTCCCCACCAGATGCACCCACTGCCTACCTCATCGGAGGCCACGCACTAGATAAAAAATTTTAAAACTCCACATTTAGTGTATTAAGGGGGGGGGATCATTGTGATCACTGCCTCCTGGGATGGATCAATACAAAAAAAAGTAACCTTAAAATACAGAATAATTTTTCTAGTATCTTACCCAGGGGAAGGCATACAACACAGAAGTGCCTAAAAGTGAAGGCGCTGGGGCGGGAGGGCCGCGAACGGCGAGGTGAGAGCAGCAGCTGAGCGGCCCGCCTTGTCCCTCCATAAAACAGGGGTGGACAGCGCCTGCCCCCAAGGCGGGGAAGACGCACAGGCGAGCGCCCCCGGGCAGCGTCAGCTATTATTAGAATGGCAGTTAGGCTCAACTGAAGGATGGGTGAATTCAAAACCTAACAATTTACAAAACCTTCATGTCTATTAACATATCCAGTTCAGAGAGCAGCCCCGCGAGGCAGATGGTGCAGGAGTAACATCACGGCCAAGCCCAGGACACAGGGCGCAGTGGGCGCCGGAGAAGACGCACGCCCGGCTGGGGTGGTGCGGCGCTTTGGAGAGGGGTGGAGGGAGCAGGGGCGTTTGCTCTGCACCCCAAAGGAAGCCGGTGGCGGAAGCTTCTGAGGAAAAGGGTGAAGGGGGCCGCAGGGAGAAGAGCGGGGGCTCGAGGGACGCGGGGTGACAGGTCTGGGCCAGGAGCAGCCGCCTCAGCCACGCTCTCGGAGACCTCCCTGAGTGTCTTTAGTTTTGCTGCCGTGGCTACCACAATGTCCAGAATTGATTAAAAAAATTTTCCTTTCATGGTCATTTTGACTTTGGGGAAGAGACATAATTCACATAGTGCCAGATCTGGCGAATAAGATGGATGAGGACACACTGTAATGTTTCTATTTGACAGAAATTGCCGTACCAGAAGCGATATGTGACACAGAGCATTGTCATGAGGGAGGATGAAGTAAAGAAACAAAAGAGGACTTCCAGAACTGCTTCAGAAAGTGGCAAGAACCATGGGATAAGTGTGTTCGAAGTGAGGAGTATTTTGAAGGGAATTAATGGTAATGTGTCTTTTACTGTAATACATTTTTAAAATTTAAACATTCACTGTATCTTTTGATCACACCGCGTATGCTTGAATTCATAAGAATATTTTATATTCATGAGAATATCTTCAAGAATTCAGGAACATATGAGAAAAGAATATATTCATAAGAAGAATGAATGTTTCTATGACCCTTGGTTTCAACAAAATGAAGTGTTTAAAATGCTGCTAAAAAGAATACATTCATTGAAAAGATTGAAGAGTTTTCCTTAAGACAAGTTTTTGGTGAACAAATAAACTTGGAGAATTTAATGAACTGATCTGCTGGCAAATTGACTATGAGCAGTGGTTCTCAAACTTTAGCATGCATGAGACCTGTTAAAACATAGATTGTAGGGCCCCACACCCAGGGTTTCTGGCCCGGTAGGTCTGGATAGGAGGCTGAGAACCTGCATTTCTAAAATTCCCAGGTGCTGTTGCTGCTGCTGGTGGGGGCAAACAGAACCACCCACTGCAGTAGAGCAGTGCCTGGCACGTAGAGCAGTGCCTGGACAGAGGGTGTGCTCCATAAACAGGGGCTGGGTGAGTGAATGACAACCAGACTGACCTTGCCCCGGCCTCTGGATCTTCTGTGTGCACCTGAAGCCCACTGTCCAGGGCCCCCATCACACTCTGGCCGCCTCAGACCCTTCCCCACTCCGTTGTCCCCTGGGCAGGTGGAGGAGGTGAGGCCCATAAGGCCTACCTGTGTCTTGGGGTTCATCAGCGGA